GATAAAGGTAGGGTAATGGAAATCCCGCTGAGCCAAGGATTTTCAGGGAGTTCCACATTTATCTGACAGCTAGTAACTAGAGACTGATACAAAAGATATAGCCGCTAAAAGCGGGCCAGGGACAGCATCTTGGCAGAAATCCCAGCATCCTCTTTTTTCCTAGCAGCTGTAGGGGGAGTTTGGTCTCTTACCTCAGTATTAAAACCCATTCATCTTTTGTACTGGTCAGTAGCCGGCAAGTGTAATTCTCTGACTAATCAGTGTCTGGTAACATTTCCAAGCCCGTTAGGAGAGAATGTGGGCAGGTGCATAGAAACGAGCAAGAGAAAGAGTGGAAGGAGGAGATGGGTTAGAACAAGAGAGGGAGGTAAAGTACTAGGAGCCTGGGTGCTGACTTTTATTTTTCCTGGTAGGTGCTCCATGCCACGACTTTGTCCCCACACTGTTTCTTCTTCCAAAGCCCTGCCCCACCTCCACCTCCACCTCTTCCTACTCCCACTGAGACCCTGCCCTCGCTCTACCTCTTCCTGCTCCCTCTCCCAGCCATGCTCTTTCTTCCGCTCCCCCCGTTCCATCCCAAATGGGACCCCAGTGTTACCCCACCTCTTATCCCCTGTGCTTCATCTCCCCAGCTGGTTGCAGCTCTCCCTCACCCAAGCATCTCTTGCCAGGCTATCAGTGCTGAGCATTCCATATTTTTTTCCATGGGTGCTTGGAGCTCCTGTGAAGTCAGCCCCTATGATTTAGCTCAGTGTTTCTGAAAGTGTTCCGCGGAATCACTCTCAGAAACACATTAACTGTCTGCCCCAGTTTGTTTATTTACCGCTTCTCGCGGTTCCCCTTGGCTGCAGAGGACAAAACGGAGCCAATGGGAGCCGCAACGCTCCGTGGCTGCGGTGCTGGTAAATAAACAAACCGGGGTGGCCAGTTAATGTGTTTCTGAGAGTGATTCCGCAGATCACTTTCAGAAACACTGATTTAGATGGTGTCTGGAGAAATGGGAGGAAAAAGGGAGAGAGGCAGAGGGCACAGTGTAGAAACAGCAAGAGAGGGATAAGGGGAGAGAAGGAAAAGAAGAAGCAGACACTGAAAACAGCTACATGGGGGAAAAGATACCCCATGATGCGGGGGAGGGGGAAAGTGGAAGAAAGCCAGGTCAATGGAACAAAAGCAAGAGCTTACTGGTGAGCCAAACTGATTGAGTAGCCTTCATACATATTCCACTTGATCATTTTCACCAGTATTCATCAACTACTTATTCAACAATTAGCTTTTTCTGTACAATTAGCCATACCAGTAAATCACATTACATTTTTTTCAACACAGTAGCTTATTTGACAATATATTACAGTAAAATATAGCACACACTAAACAGCACACAAAGGTCTTATCCCTTTAAATTGCAAGAATTGTGGTCTGATTGAGGCAGGTGGGATTGAGGGAGGAGTGGCATATCAGGGGTATTTTTCATCCCTGTTAAAGGTTTAGACCATGGGTGTCAATTAAATTTTTCAAACGCTGATTTAAGATAAATTGAAAAACATTGATACAGTACAGTCTTATTGTTGTATTAATTTAATTATGTTAATAAGAGTAACAGTAACAACATGTACAAAAATAAAAGCTGTACATATGATTGGTTTAGCTGACTCTTACTTCAATGCTGTGATGAAGGGGTGTGTGTGATACTTTCTGAACCTAGCTTCTTGGTGAATGAGTGCACTTTAATAATGTCAGTTTGGCTCTGAAAAGTGATTTGTATGTAGGGGTTAACCTTTACATGAAGTGAGTCAAATTTTTATATTTCAGTTTAGAACTCAAAATGCTATATGAAAAGCCGTTTACCAACTTTACCAGTAGAGGATCTTATCTATAGAAAAAAAAACATTTAAACTGGTTCAGTAAATCAGGTTTGTTTGTGTTACTCTGGGGAAGAGCTTTATTGATCTTTTGCTATTTCTATGTTAATTGAAGTCACCATTTGCATTTTCTACTCAGAAGAATCCCAGGAAGAAAGGTGGACTATTTGATACTGTACTACAAATGCCAGAAAGGTAAAGCCAAGCATTTATTATTAGGTCAGTTTATAACTGCATTCAGGTTGAACGTATTTTCTGTTGCTTTAAACTTTGGGCCTGGTTTTCACATTTTACCTGTGCTGGATTTTTTGAATGTGATTCTGTTGACTTCAGTGAAGTTATTCCTGAATAATACTAATGCACATGATAGCAGAATCAGCTCTTCAAGATGAAGACCAAGTTAAAGGTGGTAGAAAACTACCGGCTAAGTGTGTATAAAAATTCTTTTAACACTTTTATTTGTTTTTCTTATGTGGCTCTTTTTCTTTCACCGTGGAACCCCAGTGTTTCCATAATTATCAGCCCTTCAAAAAAATCAAAGTTTTTTTTCTCCCATATGTTTTATTTCTTTGATCTATTGATCTGGAAAAAGCTATAAAGCTCACTGTTTCTGCACCTTTTATGTTTGGCTTGTGCCATTTTGGCTGAGGTTGGAATCTTTGTCAGCCAATTATTTCAGTCATGTTTCTCAGTCCTATTTATATCTCTTAGAGAGACGCTGTCAGCTTGAAAAAACCCTCACTTGTGCAAAAAAACTTTTTCCCTGCCATTATTTAATTAACATCAAGAGACCTCACTTGTGCCAGAAAACTTTTTACCTGCCATTATTTAATTAACATCAAGAGTCTTTATTGCAAAATATGAGATCTTTCTTCTAGCTTGATTATTTTGTACATTTGACAGCAGTTGGTGTACAGTTATTTTCACTTTTTCTTTATACAGCTAGTAAGGCTCTGTTCTTTCTCTGGGTTTTCCACACACCCGGGGAAGGAAAAAAGATAAGAAAATGTGATTTTTAAAATCACAGGATTGTCATGGGGACTGGGGAGCAGGTGTAGTCCAGTAATTGAAATGATTATACACTGAATTCATTTTTCTAAATGGATTCAGGTACACCATGTTACTTTAAAATTACTAAAAGGGTCTAATTCTTCAGAGCTTTGCAATGTGAATAGTTATTCATATCTGTGTAAAGTGACTCTAAAACAATAAATAAATAAGGCATCAGCTGAAGGTAAGGAGGCGGGGTGGGTCTCAGTGTCCTAATGGATACGGCATCAGCCTCCAGAGCCTTGGATTGTGGTTTTGAGTCCCACCCACATCCCCCATGCCCCAGGAGCAGCTGCGCAGCCACCACCAGAGCCCGCAATGAGGCAGGAGCAGGGCTGCCAGCCTCTGTCGACCCAGCTCCCCAGGAGTGGGGCTGGCTCTGCTGCAGCAGTGAAGCTTCCTCCCTGGGAGCTGGCTGAGTGTAACCAAGACCATTAACCGATAAGCATCAGTGTATCGGTTAAACGGTTATTCAGTTATACTCCAACATCCCTACTTTGCATGTACAGAGGGAGTAGTCCCTGCCCTTTTTTCCAGCCCTGATGGCAGAAAGGGGCATTAAAGCAGATATATCGACTTCCACAAGAAAGCGTTTGGTGCTGGAAGCGGGTTGGAGATGACTTGCTCATGACTCCCGCTGTTCTTGGGTGGCACAGCTGCTGTAGGAACCACTGCAGTTGGGATGCAAGTTAGGGCAACCCTTAGTGCTGCTCTACATTGTGCTTGACTTGATCTAACCCCCCAAATAGGGAGGGTGCATTGGTTTCCCCCAGACTGAGCACTAGCACGTGCATGAATTGGAGTTAATGCTTTGAGATCTATGGATGAAAATCACTGTATAAGTTAGGTATTCATTATTATAGCTATGAATGGGTGTAAATGACTACACAAGGTGCAAAGTAATTGAGAATCAGGCCATCATTTTTTAAAACTTGGAATACAATTATAAGTAGTGTGGAAGCAGGGAAAGGAAAAAGGGGATTTGTGTGCAGCCATCTTAGGGTTGTTAGGAATAGAGCAAGAGACAGGCTAACCCTGAGGCCTAACAACGCAAGAGCGAGAATTGTAAGAGATGCTTCGCTCTAAAGATAAGGATGGAATGCTGACTCCAGCAGGAACCTTGAGATATGGTAGCATCTGAAGGGAATTGTGTGGGCAGGGAGATAACCGTTAGCCATTGATGTATGTAACAGGAAGGTATATATACTTGTCTTTCACTGCTTGTATTTTGAAGATCTGCTTAGGAAGGGGCCCCGTGCCCATCCGACAGCAGTCTTCTCTTGCAATTGCTTAAAATAAACTGCCTCTGACTTGTTGCTTACTAAACGCAGAGTGAGGACTTCGTTTTCTTCCACAGTAGAGAAAGTCTGCAAATGAGAATTTTAACTTTGGAAGTAGATTATCTATGTATTGTGGAATTCAGTACCAGTACTGTATAAATAGTAAATCTAGGAAAAATTTTGTACCTGCCAAATTCTGCTATTCTGAGTCATTCGTGACTACAGTGAATTTCCCATTAACTTCATAATAGGCAAAGTGGTTCAGTGGTCAGAGCCCTAGTTGGAGAACCTGGAGTAGTATTTTCAAAAGTTCTTTAATGTTATGATTACAGGTCACTTAGGAGATTTTGAAATTTTTATATCTTAGTTTTATTCTTGGTCCAGATACTAACTTGGTGTGTAAACTGGAGCAAGTCACTCCGCTCCCTGTATATCAGTTTCCTTATTTGTAAAATGAAAATAATAAAGGTAATTTTGCCTAATAAAATACTTTGAGATTTATGAATGCTAAAGGCTTTACTGCATGGCAGGAAGGTCCATATGAATATCTCTGTAATTCAGTACTTAGAGATCTTATTTACTGTTCTGTGCTTACAAATGGAAGTTGGAGGAGGATGTAAGAATACAACAAGAAATTAACTGTGAATTAACTTTTCTTCGATGATATCTTGAAACAACCATGCTGGGTTTTTTTTAGATATATTGCAATTGACTTAACTAATATTTTTGAGAAAGTAATCCAATTAAAATGAGTCCCACAGTTGCAGACTTCCTTTCCTCATATTCACTTTAGTCTTTGTAACTCCTCCAGATCTATGTACAAAAGCTGCAAGGATCATATATGAAACCTAGATGTTTCCAGAGTCCTCCAGAGGAAGAAAAGCAACGTGCCTCAGGTGGAGAAGCCATCAGAGAAAGTGTCAGCACACATCCAGTCTGTTACTGCTGTGGATAAAAATAAAGTAACAACAGACCACAGTCGCTACCTCCGGGATCACTTGAACACTTTAGTTGTGCTTTTTCACAGTGCTAGAGGGAATAACAGGAAAACAAATCCAGGTTAGATTTGCCATCTTCAGAGGTTTTGTCAGAAGGACTGTCAGCCGAGATACGAAGTTCCAGAGTGTCCAAGTTGCAAAAAGGAAAGGAGGATCCAGAATGATTGACAAGTTCATTTTGCAATCAAAGAGAGACAAGGAAGCCTTGCAGAAGAGTATTGTGGTGCTAGATGACATGCTGGAAATATATAAAGAGCATAATAAACCAGCTGAAGGACACGAGAGCAAAGTAACATGCTCTGTGGTAAGTGAAAGACACGTGCCTTTTAGTATGACTCCAGAGCTGTGTGCTTCTGTTATTCCCCGTGCTGCATATCAGTGTGTATATCTGCATATCAGAGGGCATTGCATGGGAGGAGGGAACTTTAAACAGAACTGATTCTACAGCAGTGGTCCCCAACCTTTTGGGGCTGCCAGGCGCCTAGGGCGGGGCCACTCACGCGCCGCACATCCAGGGGCGGGGCCACGCATGTGCCACGCGCCTGGGGGTGGGGCCGCACATGCGCCGCATACCGGGGCTGGCACGTGCTGCATGCCCGGGACAGGGGCCGAGCCTGGGGGCGGAGCCGCCCATGTGCCATGCGCCAAGGGCCGGCACCGGCATGTGCTGTGTGCCCAGGGCAGAGGCTGCCCATGCACCTCGCGCCCGGGGCTGGCAGGGGCCGCCCCTGGGGCAGGGGCCGGCACCGCGCATGTGTTGCATGCCCGGGGCAGGAGCCACCCATGCGCCACGCGCCCAGGGCCGACACCATGCATGTGCCACGTGCCTGGGGGCAGGGCCGGCCCAGATTGTTCTATGGGCGCACTTAAATGCCCCAGCGGGCGCCATGGCAATTCCAAAGGTTATAACTTTCTATTTAAAAATCAGTAGGATGAAGAACTGTTCCATAAGTATTTTGTATAGTGGGTTTTCCCCTAGAGCTTTTTGTTGTTGCATATTTTTAATGTCCTAGGCTCTGATGTTGCTAACAGCTATTCCCAGGCTTGACGTTTCACAAGTTGTCTTACTGAAGTCAGTGCAACTACTCCCATGGGTAGAGTCAAGCATCTACCTGTAAGATCCGGATCTAAGTATCTCCTCCTAAATAAATGTCTGTTTAGCAGTTCTCTGCCTTATGCAGGTTTATTTTTTATCTCTGAATTGTCTTGTTTGTCCTATGTATGGGCAACTACAGCACAAATTATGCTGGTGTGCATCAGCCAGAATGCTGGCAAACAACTGTAACCTGGACGTATTAGTATTAGTAAGATTCTCTTTTTTTGCCATATAAAAACAAGAAACATAATGTGCATGGCTACTATAAAATGTGCACTGATTCTTGCACTGACTTAAATTTTCCTTTTTATTAAATCAGGAACAACAGCAGCACCTGGGAGAGGAAGTTTTCCTTCTTGATGGTTTGGTGGGACTGTATCAAAGGCTATGTCTAGACTGCAAGCCTCTTTCGAAAGAGGCTTTTTCGAAAGATACTTTTGAAAAAGCCTCTTTCGAAAAAGAGCGTCTAGACTGCGAGCAGTACTTTTGAAAAAGCAAGCCGCTTTTTCGAAAGAGAGCACTCAGGCAGTCTGGATGCTCTCTTTCGAAAAAGCCCTGTTTGCATTCAAGAACTCCTTTTTTCGAAAGAGCACTTTCGAAAAAAGGCGTTCTTCCTCGTGAAATGAGGAGTACCGCCGTTGAAAGAAAAGCCGCATTCTTTCGATTTAATTTCGAAAGAACGTGGCTACAGTCTAGACGCAGGTGAAGTTTTTTCGAAAAAAGGCTACTTTTTTCGAAAAAACCCCTGTAGTCTAGACACAGCCAAAATAAACAAGCATGTGTGAGGAACAGATCAGAATTGAATGAACTGTAAGAGGAAAGGAAAGGGAAGCAGCTACAAATGGTAAGAGTCAGTTTCACTTTTTGTTTTTGTTGTTTTCCAGCAAAATACTTAAGTCACAAGAATTGGAAGTATGTTTAAAAAGCATTTTTAAAAGGTCACACTGAATAGCAGAACTGCTTGAGAGATTAAAAACAACAACGTCATCTCAATGGGTCAAATTTTAAATAGAAACTAGAAACCAAATAAGTAGAGAGAGGACTTATTGAAGCTCCAGAATGGTTTCTTCAAGCATATTATCTGTACAGGGCTGTCTCCAAAAACAAAATGTATTGTGATCTGGCGCTAAGACCAAGGATTGGGATAGGAGTTTGGGTCAGGAGGCCACTTACCTTGGCCAGTCGCAGGCAAGAAGGCAGTAGAACCCTCATCCCCAGCTGACCACTTCCATGGTGGTACAGCTGCCCCCCAGTGGTGAGAGTAAGGGTTGTGTCCCTCCTCTCTGTCCCCCCCCCTTTCCATGTTGAGGAAAACATTCGCATTCTAGGCACATCCCATTTTCCTGGCACAACCATACTCAGACCTTGCTTTAAGTTAAGATAAGAGGAAGCTGCATACACAATTTAGTGGTCTTAGCTCTTACTGTTTAGGAGTTCTTGAACAAATGGACTTGCAGACACAGACAGAAAGACTTATAGACACACAGATCTCTTGCTGTCTTGCGCGCACACTTTCTCTCTCTTCATTTTATATATATATATATATATATATATGGAGAAAAAATGGTCAAAGTATTACTCAAGTACCTTGTTTAGTTGTATTTTTGAAAAGTGTTAGGGAGCAAATGATAGCTAGCTACTCTGTTTCATGGAATGTGTGTGTAAATTGAAAGTATTTTCAACATAAGTTTTTATCAGTATATGGTTTATCCATTACTTTACTATATAAGGCCTGCTTACCAACTATTGCCTTTTTGAAATTTACTTATTTAAAAAGAATATTTTTAAATACACAAAATTAAATATTTTTTAGCATAAATCTTCTTTCTTCTCAACACACTTTCCTTGGGCCCATACTAGGAGGCAGGAGATTCTGTTTGCTGTTTTCTGTCTGGTGCTATAAGCAGATTGCCATCTGCTGGATACAGTGAATAATATGCTGGCTCTATTGTGCTTGTTGTCTTTGATTGTTTCTATTCCTTGATATACTATCAAAATTTGAAGGTGAACTTACTGTTCCTGAAAGGCACCTGAGTGAGGCCTTTGAAGAGTGAAGTCCATATGTAACCTACTGACTACAGGGTTACACATGAAACAGATGACAGGAGAGTTTATTCTATGCTGCTCTGCCAGTCTGTTCCATTCTGGTGCCCAGTCTAAATGCCTATTTAGATTTTGTGTACGTTGCTTATCCTGTCATCAGGGTACAATGTGGACTGTGTCTACTTGCTAACTTCATATAAACCACCACTAGTGACAGAAATGTAAATGTTGGTTCATTCTTGAGGAAGCTACAGTCCTCGTTTTTCTGAAGGATGGCGGGAAATCACAATGTTTCATGGTATTTGAACAATAATTCCACTTCAGATTTAGGAACCTAAGCCCTGCTTCACACTTAAGTTGCGGCCCTCGGCAGGTGCTTTGAGTTAAGAGGAAAGGTAAGGGAGAGGATGAGAGTGGGCACAAGGGAGATTAGGAGATAAGATGGAACAATTGGAGTTGTGAAAGCAGAAAAGAAATTCCTGACCTTCACAATTCCCCCTGACTCTCAAAGGTCCAGATCACATCACCACCCCTTGTGATCAAGGTGAGTTAAATACTAATTTCACTGCCCCATCGAAGCGATTTGTTATATTAGGGTGTAGGCTCACATAATGAGAATTGCTGAGCACTTACAACTGCTTTGGAAATCAACAGTAAGGCTTTAGTTTAATTGCATTCAGTGGGAGTAAGACCAAGGAGTATAATCCAGCCCTCAATGAGTTGCTTCACTCAAGGAGATGATCCTCCATCTGCAGCACATCCTGCTTTTGTCAGCCTGGGAACAAAGGAAGACATGTAGTGGGCATGTCCTATCTTGGGCCCATACATTTGTTAGGCATTTTAATATTTTTTCTATACTTATTTTGTAACATGAGAAATTACAAAATGGAGATTGAATTACATGACCTCCTATTGTAAGGATTCAGTTTACTTGCATTAAATGTATTTATATACTAAGAATCTCAGCAGAACTCTTCTGTAGATAGGTGGCTCAGAATCTATATTTAGTGAACCAAACTCCGCAGCTATTCTTCTGAAATCAGTGGAGTTATGACTTACAATGAAAACAAAGCACAATTGACCCTGGTATATTTACATGAGATTTTCCGGATCTCCAATACACTTTGAGGTGTGGCCAAAATGAACCATTGTTGCAGTAATGGAAAAAGTGTCTGGAAAAAATCACTTATTTCCTTTGGAAAGAAAAAAATGAAGATATAGTCTTAAGTCTGACTATTTTCCTTACTTTATCTATTGCATTCTTCTGGAGTTTAAGAGTTTTGTGCATATTGCCAGTTTCATTTGGAATGTTATCTGTGAGATCACAATGTAATGGGGGGACTTTCTGCAGCGCAATATCAAGGGTAAAATCCAAACAAGAAATCTGAAAGGAAGTTCTAAAGAGCATGTCTATGCCATTGTTCTAATCATGCAGAGTGATTGTTTCCTTGCATACAAATTTTGACAGGTACACTGTTCTGTTGAAAGGAGCAAATGTAGCAAATCGCCTAATTTTTCTGTTAAATTGTTATTATAGTTAAAAGAAGTAAGTGTATTTTTCTGTTTTGTCTTTTTATTACCTACATCTGACATCATTTTGAGTACAGCCTGTTTCCCTGTAGAGTCAGGTAGGCCCCTGTCAGACTCATATGGACATATCCTTGTGCCTGCACAAATTGATGTCAGCCTGCATGTATCTCATGGCAGGATCAGGTCCTTTCTTCAATTTTTTTTCCTTTTTGATAAGATCTTTATAAAGATCAACAATGGAGCAGATCCATTGCTTCCTTGCTCTTTTTTAAAGGTGGTTGTTAAAGAAATGTTTCCTTGTCACTGGATATTGGATATTTCCAATTTCAAAAAAATCCAAGGAGACAGTGTTACTATAAATGCAGACTTTGACTACAAAAAACAAACAAATCCATTTTAGAGTGAATGATGTTGTAAAGGCTTGCAGTGTCTTTCTCAGGTACTTCACAAGAACATGTAGCCAGGTCTCCGCTAAAAAAGTTAGGTCAACCCAGCTACATTGCTCAGGAGTCTGAGAAAGCCACACTTCTGAGTGATGTAGTTAAGAGCCAATATAACCACCCCCTCCCTCCTCCACACACACACTGTAGACAGCAGTCGGTTTATAGAGAAATTCTTCTGTCAACCTAACCAGT